TCTGTTAGTCTTTCTGTCTCTATGCCTCTGTTTCTGTCTGTCTCTCTCTGTCTCTCTGTCTCTGTCTCTGTCTCTCTCTGTCTCTCTGTCTCTCTCTCTGCCTCTGTGTCTCTGTCTCTTTCTGTCTCTCTGTCTCTGTCTCTGTCTCTCTGTCTCTCTGTCTCTCTCTCTCTGTCTCTCTGCCCCTCTCTCTCTGTCTCTCTCTCACACACACACACACACACACACACACATACACACACACAGACATACACACACCAACCATCACTTCCATCCTTTTTCTAGTTCATGAACTTAGATGAATTTTTCAGATCAAGGTGACTTGAATGTTTAAGATGGAGAAGTGAGGGGAAGCTAGCTATTGTGTGTTGGCAGATCAGTTGAGTTGTGATGTGCTCAGCCATAGTTTTCCTTTTTCTCCCTCTTTCTGTCTTCTGTAACTCCAACAACCCCTTCCCATTAGAGTTTCAGACCTCTTATCTCCTTGGTCCTCACCATAGTTTTCTGAGGTTGGTAGGACCTGCAGAGGACCACAGAATATTAGAGCTGAAAGGGACCTTAAAAGGGTCTGATCCCCTTATTTCAGAAAGGAGGGGAAACTGGAGCCCAGTAGAATTAAGAGTGACGTTTCTATTCCTCACATGTGTCAGTCCATCTCCTGTCTCTCTGAGACTCTGCACTGGCCATTTCCCCGTGCCTAGAATGCCCTCCCTGCTCACCTGGGCTGCATAGAATCCCTCTCTTCCTCAAGTACCACATTCTACAAGAAGCCTTTCCTGATTCCCCCTTATTCTAGTTCTCTCCTTCCCTAAACACTCTATATTGAACCACTTTGTAGTTATTTGTATTTATTCTCCTTGTCGTTCATTCCCCATATTCAAACACATGTACTCGTTTTCTTCCTACATTAGAATGGAAGCTTTTTGAGAGAAGGGAATGTTCATTACTTCATTATAATTGTATCCCCACAGTGCCTGAAACACAATAGGCGCTTAATAACTGCTATGATCATTTAGCCCACATAGCCACAAAGATACCATGAGAGACTTTATCAAATACTTGGCTAAAATCCAGCTACATATTTTCTATGGCATCTTCCTGGTCCATCAGTTCAGTCAAAAAAGGAACACAAGTGAGTCTGGTCTGATCTGTTCTTGCTGAAGCCACACTGGCTTTCTGTGATGACCACTTTTTTTCCAGATGTTCAGTAACCATTCCTGTAACCATGTTCCATAATTTTGCCAGGAATCAAAGTCAAGCTCACTGGCCTATAGTGTATAGACTCCAGTCTCTTCCTTTGTGAAAATCAGGAAAATATTTGTCAGTCCCACAATATGTCTCCTATTCTCCACCATCTTTCAAAGGTCACTAACAGTGACTCAGCTTTGCCAATTCTCTCTGCAATAGATAGAGTACTGGATTTAGAAAGACCCGAATTCAAATGTTGTCTCAGAAATTTACTTACAAGTTGTGTGACTTGGATCTGTAAACCTAGCCCTAATCTCCCTCCTGAGCTCCATCACCAACTGCCTTTTGGACATCTTAAATTGGATGTCCTGTAGGCATTTCAAACTCAACATGCCCAGAACAGAGTTCATTATCTTTCTCCCCAAATCCTTCCCACTTCTGAACTTTCATATTTCTGTCCAGGACAACATCCTGGCTTCTCATGCATAGGAGGTTAGGGAGTGGTCCGAGCTGGCCTTCACTTCAGAGACTGCCTGCAGAAGGCACCTGCAAGTGAGGCCATCTCTGGGCTTCAGTTTCCTTATTTGTGAAATGAGCAGAATAAGACAGATGACTTCTACAGTTGAGGAGCAAATGTAATGTATAGGAAAGAATACAGGATTTGGAATCAAAGGACTTGGGTTATGACCTTATTATGTTGCTGGGTGACCTTGGGCAAGTCAGTCCCTTCCTTTCTGAGTTATCTAGGTCTGTTTCCATTCCTGTAAAATATGGGAGTTGATGTACATCAGCAGTTCTCAAACTTTTTGGTATCCCTTCATATTCTGAAAAAATATTGAGGACCTTTCAAAGAACTTTTGTTTATATGGTTTACAGCTATCAATTTTTTGCCATATGAAAATATTTTGCCTCCCTGACCCCTTGAAAGGTCCTGAAAGCACCTTAGTCTCCAGAAAGAGTAGATTGGGAAAATGCAACTTTAGGCCACAAGAGGGCAACTTTGTACCATAAATTATATCTCCCACTGACTGAAAAGGAGACATTTGAGACATGCTTTCTGCCTGCTTTTCCTCTTTAGAAGCAGGAGTAGGGGAGACCGAAGGAACCTGAGTTCTAGTCCAAATTCTGCTGCTTATTTGTAGCCCTGGGCAAGTCACTAAACTCCTCTGTGCCTTAGTTTCCCTAATCTGTAAAATGGGGATAATAATAGCATCAACCTCTCAGGGTTGCTGTGAGGATCCAATGAGTTAATGTATATAAAATGCTTTATAAAGCATCAAATGCTGTATAAATATGAACTACTTCGAGAGAGACACACAGAGAGAGACAGACAGAGAGAGAGAGGTTTGAGGTGTCCCATGCCCCAGCTCCCATACCCAATATCCTCGTCTCCATCCTCCACCAGAAGACGGAAAGAAGGGCAGGTGAGAGGGCATAATAGCTAGCATTGATAGATCACTTTAAGGTTTGTAAAGCACTTTGCCAACATTATTTCATTTAAGACTCACAACAACCCTGGGAGGTGGGTGCTATTATTATTCCCATTTGACAGCAGAGGAAACAGAGGCAGACAGATGTTAAGTGACTTGCTCAGGGTTACACAGCTAGCAAATGAGACAGGATTTGAACTCAGGTCTTCCTGACTCTAAGTTCAAGTCCAAGCCTCTATCTGCTCTGCCAAGATTCCTCTCAGGGTGTATCCAAAAGCATGCCAGAACCCTGAATGGGGTCAGGACTTAGGAGTGTTAAGCTGTGACAAGAGAAGGCTTTGGGGGTAGGGAAAAGTGGGAGGATTGTATTTAGAAACAAAAGGGATGTAAAAATAAAATGCGTATTTTATTTTAAATAAATAATAAATAAATAAAAAGGAATGTAGAAATAAAAGATACAAGTAAAACTTTCAAAAAAAAAAAGATCATACCAGAATACTTCAGTTTCTTCCTCCTTCCTCCAACCTTTTATTTTTCTTCAGAAAAGGCCACTAAACTGGTAGATCAGGGGAATGTTGCCAATGCAGTTTATGAACATTTTAGCCAAGCACCTGACAAAACTCTTCCTACTATAACTACATAAAAAGGAGATGTGTGGGCTAGACAAAAGCACAGTTAGGTGAATTTACAATTGGTTGAAAGACCAGGATTAAGAAAGAGCTCCATAGCCCATTAGAAGGAGGTCTGCAGTAGAGTGCCACAGGGATCAGTACTTGGTCCTATGCAATTGACCATTTTATCAATGGAGCTAAAGGCATCGATTGCATGCTTATCAAATATGTAGAGAGGAGGGATAATTAACACACTGAATGACTGAGCAATTATCCAAAAATATCATTAGTGGCTAGAGTATCATTTCTAATAACATGAACTATAATTTTTTTTAAACTACAAAGTCTTATACTTTTCACAAAAAACTCTAAACCAAACAAAAGAACTCTGCGAGTAAAATATGAGAAAGTGTTGCTAAATAGCAGTTCACCTAAAAAAATCTAGGGGTTTTACTGAACTGAGAGTTCATATGTGTCAACAGTGAGCTAGTAGTAACCCAAACAGCTAATGCAAACTTGGGCTGTATCCAAAGCCAGAGAGATGATAGACTCTTCATACTATAGCCTGACCATACCTCATCTGTTGGATTAGGTCCAGTTCTGAGAGACCCAATGGGGGAGGGATATCAGTCAGATGGATGACCAGGATGGTGAAAAAATTAAGTTCATGGCACATAAGAGTCACTTGAAGACATAGGTGAGGTTTAGCCTAGAAAAGAGGAGTCTTGCAAGATGGCTGCAGTCAATAATTTAAATTGTTAAATTGTTAAATTGAATTGAACTGGAGAAGACTGGGTTAGGGGAGATATGATTGCTGTCTTCAAGTATTTGAAGGACTGTCCATGAATGAGGGAATAGATTTGTGTTCGTTGGTCCTAAAAGGCAAGACTACAAACCAGAAGAAATTGCATAGAGACAGATTTAGGAAGGTCAGGAAAAACAAAAAGGAAAACAAAAAACAACAACAACAACAAAAACCTTCCCACCTATCCAAAAGGTAGTAGTTATCAGAAGCAGGATCTGAACGCAGATCCTCTGACTCTAGAATTAATACGCCTCCTACTCTATCTGCCACTAGGCGCTTCTACTGTCCCCAGGTGAAATAATACTCATCCTTTGATACTCAGATCAAATAACACCTCCTCTAAGAAGCCTGGTCCCTCCAGGGGGAACCTTGCAAAGTAAGTACTTTGTAGCTCTCTTGTATAATTATCATATGTCACTTTGTATCACAGCTATTTGTGTGGGTTTCTCTTGCAATGAGCTGTGGTTCACATGTCTGACTCTACCTAGGGGGAGGCAGGGAGCATTAGAGGGAGAGCTTTCCTAGGAATCAGGAAGACCGGAGTTCAAGGTCTTCCTCTGATACGTGCTAGCTGTGTAATCTGTTCAAGTGACTTAATCTTTTAGTGCTCTGAGCAAGCTTCTAAGAATAGAAGTTGTAGAGATGGTGGTGACCTGCTTTGGTAAAGGGAGCTTCCTCATCTGGGAATTCCTTTTGACCAATGAAACACAGGCCCAGTTCCTATTTCCCGTGTCATAAGATTGTAGATTTTGTGCTATAAGGTCCTTAGAGGTAATCTGTTCCAACCACTTCCCTTTTCAGGGGAGAAAACAGATCTAGAATGATTAGGGATTTGGCCCAAGTCACCCAGGTAGCAAGTAGTAGAGTATGGATTTGAACTGAGGTTCTTTGACTCCAAAGACAGTGCTCTGGCCACTGTCCCACGTCATCTCTCTTCTAGTAAGGGTGCACCAGCATTTGGGAAATATTTACTGAATGAATAAAAGCAAAAATAAAATGAATGAATTAATAAATACTCACCATTAGCTGCTTTTGACTCTTCAGGGTATCCAATGTCTGTCCTCTTGGTCTGGGGAACGGTCAGGGAAACTTGCCGTTGGAGGGGTTTTGGGCAAGGCAGGTGTTCAGCCCTCGATGCCCTCTCCCCACTAAACTGCATATTGGAAGAATCACCCCCAGGATCCGACTCTGTTTCAGAGCTGGAATGAAAGAGGAAGGAAGACACATCCAAATAACCCCCAGGAACCTTAGCCTCAACCTAATTCATCTCCATACTTCCCTTACCCCAATGCCAGGCCCCTCAGAGAGGTTAAATAAGGTTCTAAGATGCTGGCTGGTTCCTGAAAGGACCCAGAGGCTACTAGACTTACAAGGATGGGGCCTTGGAGGTCTTTGAGTACATTCTGCTCATTTTACAGATGAGCAAACTAAGGCCCAGAGGTATTAAGGACTTAGCCAGGGCCATGCAACTACGACAAGCCTCACTTTCCTCCGTTACCATCCATCCCTGCCTCATTTCACTGGAAGCAGCCTAGACTTCTCTTTAGTTAGTGTTCAATGCTTTGGTTGACCTGATAAACCACAAATCAATAGTGGAAAAGGCAGGGATGGGAGCTGTGCTCTTGAACTTGGGTGGCCATCTTTGAGTTTTCTCACCCCATACCCTCCAGCTGATGTCATGAGCACTACTCTTCTGCAGTGGATAGAGTGCTGGGCCTGGAGTCAGGAACATCTAAGTTCAAATTTGGCCTCAGACACCTACTAAGCTGTATGACCTTGTCAAGTTACTTAACCTCCATTTGCCTCAGTTTCCCCCTATGTAAAATCAGGATCATAATAGCACCTATCTTCTAGGGTTGTTGTGAGGATCAAATAAGATATTAATTGTAAAGCACTTAGCACAGTGCCTGACACATAGTAAGCACTATGTAATGTTACTATTACTATTGTAATTACTATTAGCTTTTTCAGTTTTGTGGGTTCTCTCACTCTCAGAGTCCTCCTGTGAGGCTGGGTCTCGCTTTCTATTTACATTCCTTACCCTCCATGGCCTGGCTCACTACTTTTCCAACTATCCTTTAACTCCCAGGAAAAGCACTACTTTATGGGTAATTACAGAGGCTTGAAGATTCAGGCAGGTTCCTACTGAGTCCATTGTAAGCCAGGATGCCTTGAAAATTGGGTGGAGAGATCTGAACTGAAAGTGAGGCTCCCTGGGCCAAGCCTCTTCTGGCTTTACCACTAACTCACTGACTTGGGGCAAGTCACGTCCCCTAGGATAAAGTAAAAAGTATTTGGGATTTGGAGACCCAATCCACGAATCCAAATCCTAAATCCCCCATTCAATGGCTGTGCCACTGGATACTTGGGCAGGGCATTTCCCAGCATTCTTAGGGAACGAGCTTTCACAAGAGCAGATGTTCCAGATAACTGAAGCTTAATTCTATAAATGCTAAAGCTTTTTTAAACTGTTAACTATTTGGGATAGATAGGATGGGGAGAAAGGGACTTGAACTGTAATTTCACTGACTTAGAAAATTCCAGGATGATTTGGAAACTCCTGCCAATATAGGTTGGCACCTTCTTTCTAGTTCTAGCCTTAGAGAATTGCTTCAAGCATGGAGAGTATATATTCTCTGCATACCCCACCCCACCTGCCCCCCAGCCTTCTTTAAAAGATGACTTAGGTTCATTGCAAGTCCAAGACAGGAGGAGGAAGAAGAGGGTAACAGAGTGTTAGACTTCCGTTTGCAGGGGCTAGAGGCAGTGGGGAGTCAGGACGACCCAGGTGTGAATCCTGCCTTTGGCATTACTGGCTGTGTGACCCTGGCTAAGTCACCAGCCTGCACTCCTAACTCTCCAGACCTTCTCTACCATGCTCAGAGGCCTCCTTAGGCTGTAAGTTCATTGCAGCCCTGGAATCCTCACTCTGGGAGTCTCCTCTCCCCCTGGGACCTCTTCCTCGGGTAGGCTGGTTCCTCCAGGAGAAGCCTAGGCCAGGCCTGGCTTCATTCCAATCTAGGCTGCACCACTCTCTGGAGTTTCTTTCCCAGCCCTTCCCAAAGGCTCCATGAGCTCCTGATTATATATTATTTTTCTCATTAGAGCACTCAAGACTCCTTATGGTCCTCCAGGGACTTGAGGGCAGGGGCTGTCTGTCTCACTGATAGGAATTGCTTAATAAATGCTTGCTTACTCACTTACTCTGAGCCTCAGTTTCCTCATTTGTAAAATAAAGGGATTGGCCTTGATTATCCCAAAGGACCCTTCCATCCCTAAATGAGTGATTCAATAAGGAAATGCCCTCTACTGATGTGACTCAGGACCTTCTCATTACGGCAGAGGTTCTGGACCTGTCAGGTGTCATGGACCCCTCTGACAGGCTGGGGAAGCCTATGGATCCCTTCTTAGAATAATGCTTCTAAATGCATCAGATAACAACATAGAATTACAAAGGAAAAACAATTATGTTGAAATAAAGTTACCAAAATATTTACAAAAAAAAAAAGCTTTACAGATCCTGGAGAGGCTAAGTAACTTGTCCAAGGTCATACAACCAGTATGGCTCCTCACTTTGAGCCCTCTTCAACATACAGTGATCAGACCTTCCCTTAATGATTTGGAATTAAGAAGACAGGACGGGAGGAAGAAGAACTGGGAGGACAGGGAGCAAGGCGAGACCGTGTGGTGTAGCAGATAGAGCGCTGGATTTGGACTCAGTAAAGGCCTGATTCTGACACTCATTAACTCTGTGAATTTGAGAGGTGTAAGAGGAGGAGGAGAAGAAACAAGGTTGCTAGATGAGGCATAAGTCCCTTTAGAGCCCAAAGCTGCTGCTGCTGCTGCTGCTGCCTCTCCCTCCCTCCCTCCCTCTCTCTCTCTCTCCCCCTCCCTCTCTCTCTCTCTCTCTCTCTCCCTCCCTCCCTCTCTCTCTCTCTCTCTCTCACACACACACACACACACACACACACACACACACACACACACACACAGTATCCACTAATGCAGACACTGTCATCAGTAACAGAAGGGAAGGAAATGGGTCCAATGGACCTGCAGGGACAACCACTGAGGGGAAGCAGGACTTGTGTGGTCTCTCCTGCCTGGGCCTGCAGCCTACAGAGTGACTCACTCTGGGTGGAGAAGACCACAGGGTGAGGAGACCCACAGCCACAGCACTTTCCCTGCTCTCCAGCAGAGGGGATGACTGGATCAGAAATCCTGGTTGAGGCCAGCGCCTCTCTGGAATTATACGGACCTGCTGCTATCACTGGTGACCATGACACATATGGCCAGAATGCCATCTTCATTCCCTTCTCCCTCGGGGCCAATTTTCACAGAGGTCCATTCTGCAGGGAACAAAGCACTCTGGCCGTCCACATCACAGGGTCCAGGGAGGCTCTTTGGCTTTTTAGGGGAGGTTGGCTCATCTGCTGAGAGGAGAAAATCTGCTAAACAGACAAGGCAACGAACAGTTGGCTCACCTCAGAACCCCACACCTTTTATTGCCTTGGTCCCTCAGGGACTCGAGATCACATCAAGAGAAGGGGCTTCTGACACATGGAGAGATAGGGAAGGCCCCATGTAGCCCCATCCCCACATTCTCCCTTTCTTCTGTGACCATCATCAGATCCTCTATCTCCTTTCAGTGGCTCTTGACCTGCTTTGAGTAGCCTTCTACCCATCCTCCACCCACCTTCTATGGATCTCCTCATACTCTCCATGGCATCCTTCAAGGTGGGCATTTCAGGAGCTTTCCCTGGGTAACAAGAGTGTTTGCTTTAGCTATGGGCATGGGACCCAGGGGCATGGCCTAAAAGGGTAGAGACCACGGGCACAGAAGCAAGTATTATGTGGAGAAATATCTTACTATGACCTCTGTGTGTCAGGCTAAGAGAGTCGGCATCAGTGACCCAAAGTCCAAAGTAGACAGGCTACAAGCTTAGCCCCTGCCAACAGGTGAGCCAAACACAGCTGTCCCCCAACTGAGCATCACCCTTGGTTGGTATATAGCAGTTCTGGGCTCCCTGGGTTTCACTTAGGATGCCGAGTTGCATGAGACTGGCTACCCACTAAATGTCGTCTCCTGTTTCAGACTCACCTAAACACAAATTCCCTGTGCTTCCCCCCAAGGAAATAATGATAATAATATTTAAATAGTGCCTACTATGTGTCAGGCACTGTGCTAAGTGCTTTTGCAAATATTATCTCATTTGATACAACCACCTTAGGAGATAGATACTATAATTATCCCCATTTTACAGAGGAAGAAATTGAGGCAAACAGAGATTGAGTGACTTGCTCAGGGTCACACAGCTAGTGTCTGAGACTAGATTTGAGCTCAGGTCTTCCTGACCCCAGGCCCAGCACTCCATTGCACCATATGAATGTTAGAGAGAGTTTGTCAAGCATTGAATATTTGTAATGGATTATTAAAAAATGAACAAGAAAGCCAACATGGTGTTCCCTGGTCCAGGTTGACTATTTACTCCTTCCTAAGGCCTTGCCCCCAAATGCTTCTAAATAGACCAAAAGCACATTGAACCCGATGGGAGTCAGGAGACCTGGGCTCTAGTTTCAACTCTGCCATTCATTAGCTCTGAAGCTTTGGGGAGGACTTCCTTTCTCCATTCATCACATTCCTCACTATGAGGGAGGTTTCCAGGTGTTTTCTGATGGCCCTATCAGCTCTGATATTCTAGGATAAGCATCAGATTCTCTAGGGAGTTTGAGAAAGAAAAATAGTAATAGTGAGTTTCTTTCCTTAAGAAAACAAAACAAAAATGGCCCAGCTCTCCAACCTGTGAGGAGAATGTGATGCGATAACCAGCTTCTCCTTAAGAGCTCAGCAGAGACTCATCTCAGTCTGAACCAATGGCCCAAAGGCAGAATACCAAGACCAAGTGGGGACAGCTGGCCAAAGAAATCAGTTCATCTTGTCTCCTGTAGGAGCCTGCTCTGCTGAGCCTAGTGTAAAGAGTTTTTGTGTGAGGGTAGGGAGGGTGTTGGTACTAGGGGCAGCCAGTGTAGTGTGGTGGATAGAATACTAGATTTGGAGGCAGGGAATCCTGGGTTCAAGTCCTTCTCAGACACTTACTAGCTGCCTGAGCGAATGACTAACTTCTCCTTGTTTTTTGGTCTCTTCCTCCCACTCCGTAGAGGCCTATAAATGTCTGCCATAGCTGCTTTCCCCAGAAAAGAGGGGAGGAAGGTGAAACCAGAGGATACTTGTTGTTATTGTTGTTGTCGTTCAGTCATTTTAGTCGTGTCTGACTCTCTGTGACCCCATTTGGGGTTTTCTTGGCAAAAACACTGGAGAAGTTTGCCATTTCCTCCTCCAGTTCATTTTATAGATGAGGATACTGAGGCAAACAGGGTGAAGTGACTTGCTCAGGGTCACACAGCTAGTAAGTGTCTGAGGGTGTATAGAGCAAGACTTTTCAAAGGATGAGAGGTCTAGAGTCAGAAGGGATTCTAAAGCCCATTGAGTCCATCCCCTCATTTTACAGATGAGGAAACTGAATCACAGAAGGTTAAGTGACTTGCCTAGAGTCACCTAGCTAGCAAGTATCTGAGGTAGCACTTGAATCAAGGGTTTCTTTACTCCAAATCCAGTGCCCTGGTGATTACATTATGCTCTCTCCCTCACTACTGTTTCCACCAACAGGCACAATAAATTTGCAGGCAGAACCTCCAGGTTACTCAGAGGATGCCAGCCCTCTCACCCTCTTCAACACCTCCCGGAGGCCTAAGGGCTGGCTTTTTTCTTACTTTGTTGAAAACAGATGCATCTGTTTTCAAAGGGAAAATGTGAGAGCTGCCAAAGTTACAGTCCAGCAGAAGAAACTGACGCCCTCCAGGGCCCTTCTATTCATAGCCTTCAATGTTCATGTCTTTCTGGTAACACTTGAAAGAAAAGGCTCCTAAAATATAGCACCTGAACCCCCCACACCAGGACAAGGGAGGTTGGAGCAGTGAAGAGGGAGCTCCTGATGTTGCTAAGCAAGGAGCCCTCCTTGGGCAGGGCTGTCCCTAGTGGGATCAGGACCAAGGCAAATGGTACTAGTGTTCACTATAGTCCTGCCACCCCCCTACATATCTGTAGAACGCTTGATGAAATCAAATGGCAGGGATGAGGAGGGTGGCCTGGAAGGGAAGGCCATCACAAAGAGCTGATGGAGGGGGAAGGGCAGTCCCACCTCTTTGCCTCCATAGCTGGTGAGGAAAGGAGAGCTTGGAAAAGGGGAGGTCAGGCAGGGTGGTATGAAGGGTTGATCCTTAGCTTCATATGAACCTCAGGCTTTTTATTTTCTTTAGTACCAGCCTGCAAAATCACCTTCAGACAGTATGGCGGCATGGGGAAAAGCAATAGATTTGGGGTCAAAAGGACCAGGTTCAATGACTGGCTCTACTTTTTACTTCTTGTGTGTCCTTAGATAAGTCACTTAATCTTTCTGGACCAGGTCCCTCACATGTAAAATGAAAGGGTTGGGTTAGATAATGTTAAAGTTAAGTCCACCTGAAAATCTATGATCCTCCAGTGCATCTCTCAATGACCACCTGGTCCCAGTTGGTTCCTTGGGTCAATGTCCATTGACTATACACATAGAGCTTCCCAAAGGGTGAGGATACTCAACATGGTACCCTAGAGCCAACAGCATTCCAGGATTGTGGCCATGGTGTGATTGAGGAGAGGGCAAGGCCAGGGGCCTCTCAAACACTGAAAGGAAGTATGCACAGTAGATAGAGCCCTGGCTTTGGAGAGAGGAAGATCTGGGTTCCAGTCCCACCTGAGACATTTCCTATCTATAGGACTCTGGGCAAATGACTCAACCTCTCTGTGTCCCATATGCCATCTACAACATGGCAGCAGCCTTAGTGGTCTCTACTCAGTGGTACCTAAGGTCTCTTCTACCTCTGGATCTATGATCTTATGATTTCCTTCGACCTGAGCTGATCTAGGAAATTAGCTGGGCTCTCTGACTGCACAAAACAGTGGACAGAGAGCTGGGCCAGCAGTCAAGAAGACCTGAGTTCAAATTCAGCCTGATATTTACCAGCTGTGTGATCCTGAGCAAGTCACTTAACTTCTGTTTGCGTCAGTTTCCTCAGTTATAAAATGGGGATAATAATAATAACACCTACCTCTCAGGGTTGTTGTAAGGTTCAAAAATGAGGCAAAAACTGTAAAACACTTAGCGCAGTGCCTGGCACACAGCGGGCACTATGTAAGTGTTTGCTATTTATTGGTAATACTACAGGCATTATTATTGGTCAAGACCAGGACTGGGTCAAAGGAGAGGTTCCTTCTTCCCTGTGGTCACTCTCTACCAATCTAGTGTCATCTAGGACACATGGCAAATTTCTAGGGCTCTGCAGGAGCATTTCCTTTCCCTGTCCATTATAGGCTTGCTGCTTTCGAGGGATCCCTGGAAAGTGACCAGACTGAAAACAGAACATGAGCCCTTCTTCTTCCAATCACCCTAATACTACGGGGGTGTCCGCTCCTTCCTTAGACAAGGGGCAATTGCCACGATTCTGCTTTGGGGGTTCTATTGTACAGCACGAAAAGAGCCAGAAGACCTAGAGTCAAACTCCAGTTCTTCTGCTTGACCTTGGACCATTCACTTCCCTTAACTGGGACTTAGTTTCCTTTTTTGTAAATTGAGAGGGATGGATTAGGTCAGAGCTATCAAATTCCGGGGCTAAACTCCCCAAGACGCAGCCAGAATCAGATTAAAATTGGGTATCATTAATAGGAATTGTAATTGGGAAAGGAAAATAAAAATAAGAAATAAAAATACTAAACAACAAAGATAATGTTAATTTGTGGTTTTCTAAGTCAACATGCTTCCTGCAGGGGATCTAATTTTATCTGAATTTGATACCACTAGATTAGATGACCTCTAAGGTCATTTTCCACCACTCAATCTATTGTTATTCTGATTATATGATCCAAGGTAAGCTTGGAGGCTTCCACAAGACTCATCTTCAGGCAGGGTGAAGACCCAAGGGCAGCATTGATTCCCCCTGACTGTACCCCACTCCCCAGGCCTTGGGACTAGCTCTAGCAGGCTCCTGAGCAGGAGAGAGGGACAGAATGAGGCAAGTGGGCCCAACATCTGGTTGCTCTGCCCTCAGCTAGATATGCTTATAGATGGGAGCATATACCTTAAAGAGTTTTGTAAATACTAGTTACAATAATAATAATTATTATTATTCCTATAGGGTATCTCACTCTGTTTAAAACTGTATTTGTTCCCTTTTTTTAATTTCATTTTTTTTTTAGGCAATTGGGATTAAGTGACTTGCCCAGGGTCACATAGCTAGTAAATGTCAAGTGTTTGGTCTGAGGCCGGATTTGAACTCAGGTCTTCTTGACTTCAGGGCCGGTACTCTTTCCACTGCACCACCTAGCTGCCCCATATTTGTTCCCTTTTTGACCCGGGAGCCTAAGTCCCTACACAGAGCCCACACCCGGAGACTCAACATCTCCAAAGGGGGGAGTGAGTTTCACCATGAGACATTGTGGTTAAGTGAAAAGAGTCTTGGCCTTAGAATTCTAGTTCTGTGACCTTAGGGAAGGGATTAAGCGTTTATTAAGTACCCACCATGTGCCAGGCACTGTGCTAAGTGCTTTACAACTATTTCTCATTTGATCTCCATAACACTCATGGGAGGAAACTGAGGCAGGCAGGGGAAGTGACTTGCCCAAGGTCACATGGCTAGTAACTGTCTGAGGGCAAATTTGAACTTGGG